TCCCCAGGCTTGATAGAGCATCTCAGTCTGCTATAGGCACTTCAGGCAGGCTCCATTAGATCTGATGTATCATGAGCCATGTAGCAAAACTGCTTACATTGTAGCTTGGACCAGCTGAAGGGATTTCTCTTGCTTGCAGCCCTATTAAAGCTGGTAGCTTTGGGGTCTCCCACTTACTAGGTCAGAAAAGCACACCCAAATATTATACATTTCCTCCAAAATCCAAAAAAATCCGCCAACTGTTATGCTTACTTCTTCTTGGTAGGGGACATAAGATACCACAACTTGTCTTCTTTGGAAAAGTTTCATCAGTATGCCCCTGATTAAGAGATCTTCCTCTCCCAAGAAACTTCACAAAGATTACTGACTACTGTAACTTCATGGGATATGTCTTTAGGATGCATATGTGTATATTTAACTTATCCACCCTCCTCCAGTACTGACGTGCTCATAGCAACTCAGTGACCCCAGTATAAGAACAAAAGAACTCACTGCTAATAGGTCTAATATTGGGCATCTTTCTTTTTTCTGCACTGCTGGTATCTCTTTCCTTCAAACTTCCTCACTCTCTCTGCCATTTCTCCTATTTCCCCAACAGTTATGTTCATGGCTCGTACCAAATGAACCATTGATTCACCCACTAAGAATGTATTGAGTGCCCACTATGTGCCAGGCACTTGAAAACCACTGGGTATTCAGAGATGAGCATAGTCCTGGCACTTGCCTACCTCGAAATTATCAAGCCAAGATAATGCATCCAGAAAGTGGAGAGAAGGGGGAAACAATGCTATGCAAGAGTACTAACCTTGTACACACAGTGATTCTGCCTACCAGCCTGAGAAACAGACTCTAACCAAACAGAGCAGCCATTTTTCCTTCTATGGAGAAACCTAGCAAAAAGGGTAAAGTGTTCCTCCAGTTCTCTTTTGTAGGGAGAGGAAGGTTGAATGGAAATTCAATTTCTATCTATGCTAGAAGTCTAAAGGTGAGGAAAGAGGGCGAAGAGTTTCTCCTGACACCAGCAGTATTCCTTGGCAGTGTTGAGTGCCCACTTGGGATTGGTTTTAACTAATTCGTAGTCACACAAGCCTGCTTGGTTGAGTGATTTTCCCCAGAAACACAGCTGCATGCTGAACTGATCTAGAGATAGAGTTTTCCCAGGTGAATACGACAGAGGGCAAGGGGCTTGGGAATTGAGATATTTCCAAGCGAACAACTGTGGTGTCTCATAGAACTAAGGTATGAAAGGAGGTAAAGATAGGAGGGTATTAATGGATAGAAAGTGATAGAGTTGGTCAGTGGATTATGAATCTTGCTGAAAATAAAGAATTACCACAGTAAAAATATGCTTGTGGGTTGTGAGATTTTGATCAAAAAGTGGATTGTAAATTTGCAATTTTGAAGGTAGTGAAGATTTCTGATGAGAAAAGAAGAAGAGGATGAGAAACTCAGAATGCAGGGGAAAGTTCATTAGAGATAAGAAAGTCAAGAAACAGAGATGACAGGTCATCCAAATGGATGTTGAAATCTGGGCAGAATGACAGGAATTGAGACAGAAAGAAAAACAAAGCAAAATGCTAAAGTCTTCATTCAGTCTACAGAGAATGACCAAGCAATTGGCAGATGACAACAGATGAGAGAGCCAGATGGCATAAGGCTCAGAGGAGAAGGATATTTTTTACAACAGGGGTTGGGAAAGAATAATTATCTGGAAGTGGCATTGGGGAAGCAGAAACCACCTCCTGATCTTATAGAATGAGCAACAGGAGCGTGCTGCAGAGGAAGCTGGATTCTCAGGGAACAGCAGGTTTCAGTTAAGGCAAGGAGATGGAGAAAACAATCTGAGAGGTGACTGTTCTTTGAAAATGAGATAGGAGTTGCTGATAGTATAGCTTTGAAGGAATAAAAGAACCAGCAGGTTTCTTTTATAATCAAAACCAGATCTTCCATTTGGGAGGGACAAGGGGCTGCCAAGAGTTTGTAACCCTGATCCCTGTTCTCCATAATTTACCTTTCATCACACCACCATCACGCTGAATTTAGGGGGTGCTATATCCCCTATACCAGTCTTGCCAGAGGGTAGTCTATGTAACACTTAATTCTCCCATAGCGCACCTGAGACCAGACTGGATTCATTGATTTCTCTCCCCCTTCTCTTCTTCCCTTCCTTGCATCTCTCTCTCCCCTAATTTTTTTCCGTTCTTTAAATCATCCATTCATTCAGTGAGACTTTCAAAGCCACGAAGGAAACAGATATAAAATAACACTCAACAAGAAGTTGTTCCTTATAAAGAATTGTTACTCATCACCAACTCTTGAATTCTTTACAGGGAGGCCTACCTACCTAGTTCTTTTAGCGTCTGTTCCCTACCTCCTTCTAGTACCTTCAAGAACTTCTAGAGACCTAAGTGTCCTGACCCAAGAGAGGAAGGTCCAGAAAAAGAGAGATGCTCCCTCATCACTCCTGTGAGATCTGCATCTTGAGTTCCAGTTTTCAGTCTGAAGACCTGTGTCTCTTCCCCTAAATAATGGGCAGCAGGGATGCCCAACTGAGGGAAAGCCCTACCCCCTAGGACAACTATGTCCGAATCTGAAGCCTAACGATATCAGAATTCTGAACCTAATATCCAGACTGACACACAGAAAATGGAGGTCAAGTTATTATATAGAAAATGGCAGGTGTCATATGGAGACCTTTTATTCCAACTAATTATTAATAAGGGCTGTTTTACAGCATATATTGCACATACTTTGCTATAATTTTATTCTACATAATGATTTGCCAACTGTATTCCAAATATGTCTTCAAAATTCAATACAAGGTGCTAGAAAGCATGGTACTTCATACAGTGTAAGACATGTGTCTGCCTAATGGACTAGCATTTCAGCGTTGAGTTTTTAACCACAAAAGGATGTTTTTTAAAATTATATTAATGGTCAATTAAATGGAGGCCAAGGGGAGTAATGCACACTTGGTGCTGAGTAAATTAAAGCTTTCAGTCTAATAACAGCCTTAATTAGGTTTCTCTTAAGACAATGCACCTCTGCCTAAATTCACACATACAAAGATGAGCAGCAAAACAATAACAAATTAGTTTTTCCTCAAAATTAACAAAAAAAAATAGCAACAGTTTAAATGAAGTGCATTATTTGTAGCCTGCCAATAAGAGTGGGAGATTTTTCCTTACTGTCAATGGCTGTTTAGTACAGTAGCCTTTGAGAAAAATTTTTATAAAATAGTCATTTGGGAATCTCTCTACTGGGAATTCTGAGGAGAAACAGGGAAGCAGGAGAAAAGGGAAGAAAGAGGAGGTAAATAAAATACTTTCTTTACACTCCCATGACAAATGGTACTTGTGAGATTGCGCCACTGAACTGAGCTGTGATTTCGGCAGTAAGCATAAGGGAGGTAGGTAAAAGCTGGAGAGTACCAGATAACCCACTGGCCCTCCCACAAAGATCTTGGGTGCCTCAGGCAGACAGATGAGTTTGCTTAAGGAGGATCTCGGTGCTCAAGATCATTGACAACTTGGAAACTTGAGACATGTGATCTCTGCTCATGCAACATTTAGCACTTTGCCTCTCCAATAAGATTAATAAACTGAATATAACAAACATTAAATGACATCCATTTGCCCGGCAATATGATTGTTAGAAACATAGACGGAAAATGTTTGACCCTCACGGAGCTTTGAATTGAGTAGGAGACCTACCAGCAAATCCAATCAGCTGGTTATGAAAATTGATCTGATCATAATGGCAGCATGCCAAAAGTTCCATGGAATTATGAGAGTGCCTAAAAGAGGTGGAGGGGGAGAGGTCAGTGATGGGGAAGGCTTCTCAAGTGATATCATTTTTGAACTGACTCTTGAAGGAGACATAGGAGTTTGCTAGGCAGAAAAGGATAGAAGATATTCTAGTTAGAGAAACAATATACATAAAGCCAAGAAATATAAAGCAGTATGGCTTTGCCACCTTGCCTCATGATTCAGTCAGGAAACAAACGGCACATTGGAAAGGTTAACTGAAAAGAATATAGTGAAGTGACTATTTCCAGAAACGTGGGCAAGGTCAAGAACACCAACAAAAAATGAAGCATTCAGGGATAGAAACACTGGGAAGCCATTAACCACCTGGCGAGAAGGGGCAAAGAAAGGAAATGAGATTGCCAGAACCTGGTGAGAGCCAAAGGCATGAGAGAAGGACTCCTCAACAGGAACCTTGACCAGAAGCAGAGGAACACAACCACTGCCAAGCCACAGCCTGGCAGAGACAAAGGGAGGGGGTAAAAACCCTGTCCTGTCTTTCCTGCAGTCTCCAGCATGCACCTCCCCTTGACTGAACCCCACTGCAAGCCAGAGGGCAAGGGAGTTTGGGAAAGCTTTCTGTAAAGGTCAGCTTCCTGAGGCCCAGAGAGCAGAGACTAGATCTGGAGAAGCAATCATTAGCACACCTCGGGTTCATATCCCACGTCCAAACACTTTCCTGTTTCTCGAGTGGATATAGCACAGGGCTAAACCTGTAACTAATGTTTTAACAAGTTTGCCCTTGTTTCTCCTTCTTTAACTGGTGGAGAGAGGGGCTTGTTGAATTAAATGACAGAGAGAGGTTCTTAAGATCTGGCTTGCTCTGCAACCTCTGCCCTTCACCAAATCTCACTGTGTGCCTATTTTTAACAACAATGATGTAATAATTATTCTATTGGATGTTTAAAAATAAAAACAAATAATCCTAAGAGTGTGAGATGATATACCATGTAAGTGCTTATTTGTCTATCTAAAAATAACTACAACTTTAATGTTGTCGTTGGATGAAACTGGCCTGCATATTAGTCTGAGAATATTTTTGTTCCCTTAGACACTTCATATTTAATTTATAAATTCTAGTTAAATCACATTAAGGTATCTTAAAATTTTATTATGGCGTTACATTGTTTGTTTGAAGGAGGGGAAAAAGAACAACTTGTCCTTTTACAACCATTTTTTCTATTTATTTTTCAGATCAATAACTCGATCTTATTACCGCAACTCAGTTGGTGGATTCTTAGTGTTTGACATTACTAACCGACGGTCTTTTGAACATGTGAAAGATTGGCTAGAAGAAGCAAAAATGTATGTACAGCCATTTCGGATTGTATTTCTGCTAGTGGGACATAAATGTGATTTAGCTTCACAACGTCAAGTTACAAGGGAAGAAGCTGAGAAACTGTCAGCAGACTGTGGTATGAAGTATATAGAAACCTCTGCAAGAGATGCTACGAATGTTGAGGAATCCTTCACGATCTTGACAAGAGACATATATGAGCTGATTAAAAGGGGAGAAATTTGTATTCAGGATGGCTGGGAAGGGGTTAAAAGTGGTTTTGTTCCAAATACTGTGCATTCTTCTGAGGAAGCAGTCAAGCCCAGGAAAGAGTGCTTCTGCTGACTTCAAATATGCCAAAGAACTAACAAGAACAGATTGGGTGTCATTTCAGGATAAATACCAACATTAACAGCAGAATGATGCAATGAATGCATTAAAAAAAGTTATCAACCCATGCTAACACTATTTTGTAAGGTATTTGATTCAGAGCACTATGCTTACTTGTTACACTACCAGATTGGATATTTTGCTAAATTATCAGACAAAGCAGACAACTTTTTCTTGAAACTGGAGTGTCTACATAATTACCTCCATTCTTTGTTATCATATAGCTGACCTTAATATACAAATTTGTCAATGTTACTCATTTTTCTTGGCAGTTCCAAATGGTTTTTTTGTGCACATATAACCTGATTGAAAAGAGTTTATCAGGGGGCCAGCCCCGTGGCTGAGTGGTTAAGCTTGTGCGCTCTGCTTCGGTGGCCCAGGGTTTCGCTGCTTCAAATCCTGGGCACGGACATGGCACCGCTCATCAAGCCATGCTGAGGCGGCATCCCACATGCCACAACTAGAAGGACCCACAACTAAAAAAAAATACAAACTATGTACTGGGGGACTTTGGGAGAAAAAGGAAAAATAAAATCTTTAAAAAAAAAAAGAAAGAAAAGAATTTATCAGGAATTACATTCTCTTGAGTTAATTAATTAATATTGAATAGTAAAGTGGATTTAAAAGTGCATTGTTCATTTACAAGGTAAACCATCTCAGAGGTTTCAACTAGGACTCAAGTAGCAGGTCCTTGTTTAACGTATCAGATTTCTAGCCATTCTCTGAAATATTTATCCTCCCTTAATTTTGCCTGAACATTAGAAAATGTTTTATACTCATTTTTGTTCTCTGATTTATTGGTCCTGAAAATGTTATGTTTTATAAAGATATCTAAGGATCCAGGCAAAATATTTTATTGCAAATATTTGTAAAAATAGAAATGAAGGACCACTCTCAACAAATGTTTTGATGTGGTAGTATACTGTCCTTATTTAGACAAGAAGAACAAATTTATTTATATACTGGCATTTTCAAAGAAAGTAAATGCAATTCACCTTGAACTATTGTCAAAATTATCAATATAGGTAAATATAGAATGTTTTTAGTAACGGCTTTTTTGGTCCAAGTAAATTTCCAGATTTCCCCATTTCCAATACAGAAAAGTACAGAAAAGATTCTTCTGGGCAAGGAAAATTGGCTAGATGTTTGCTATATTCAGCATTCAAATTGTATTTTACAATCTCATCAGTAAAAGTAAAGATAGAATAATAAGTTAAGACTATAAGATGATTTTTGAGTTTCCTAATTTTTAACTTATATTTAAATTCCCCTCCTGGAAGTGGCATTTTGATCACAGTGTCAAATATTTTATAATATACATTTTCTATTCTGTTCTGTAAACCATTCCTGATCACAAAGGAGCACTAAATGAATCTGCCTTCTGCGGAATCATAAGGTTTTTCCTGTTAAAAACTATAGTTGCTTCACTTGTATGAAAACCAAAGTGGTATAATAGAAAGAATATTTAACGAGAAGTCAGAAAACCTGGGTTCTAAGCTTGCATTTGCTCTACAATATTTGCACATGAGTAAGTCACTTACCCTCTCTAAGTATCAGTTTTCTCATCTGTAAAATGAGGGTAATAATTCCATTTATTATGTGTCATGGAATTATTTTGAGAATCAAGTGAATCATGTAAAAAAGTTTTGTAAATCAAGAAAGCATTATACAAATGTGAGATTGCTATCAGCTGCTCATAAGCATCCTATTATATTTACAGTGGATGAGACTTTTTTTTCTCATGTTCTTTCTCTTTATTTCTGCACAGAGGGAGCAAGGAAGGCTCATGTTTTCATGGACCTGGGGGAATTCTTGGTTTGATGTATTCTCTCTGCCCTCTTGCCCTGGAACACTGCTCCTCCAAAGTGGGAATGATAGGGAAGGAAATGTCAGGAGACTTAATTCAATCAAAAGTCATGTTTAAATGTGGGCTTTGTGCATCTTTGAAGTAGATATTTAATTGTATTCTTAAGTACTTGCACATTTTCCAGGTTCATGTAAGTATTTTTAATAGTGCTTGTGGAGAGAAGAATATAAATTATACCATCACTATGAAATTTTTGAGTATTTATATTGTCATCATTTTCTTAATATCCTTACATTAATTTCACGTGGGTGAGTTCAAACTCTAATTGGCCAGATAAGAAAATACCTGTTCCCCAAAATGCGAAGTGGTCTATTTTTACTGTTACAATTTTAAATCTTATATTACAATTTTCGTCAGCCCAAAATGACAAACTCAAATACTGAATATCTAACAAGAGTTTAAAGTACCGTCACCTGTGCCTACTTGTAGAGTTAGCTAAAATCTAAAATGCGACTTAGCTTTCAGTGGACACCCTTTGCAGTACTATTGTTCAAGTAGGACTAATATTTGAGTAAAGAGTATGATGTGTTCCAAGATTTAGAATAGAATTAAGTAATCAGAAGAAACAAATGGGAAGGCAAGGCCCCAACAAGTTGACACTTACCAAGGGCACACATGAGCAGAAGCAAGCCTAGCACTCTGGTTTTCCTTGTACCTGGGGAAGGATTCTTTCCATTACCATGCTGTGTCGGGAGTGTGTGTGTGTGTGTGTGTGTGTAGAAGAAAATGGGAAATGGGAACTAAATGAATCCAAAATACTAATATTGGACTAAATCATTTTGATGTTATAGAGGAGCTATTTGTGGTAAAACAATATGAAAATGAACAATGCCTACAAAGATCTGAGTTCTTATACAAGATTGCCAAACATCTGTGTAACCATAGCTAGATATCTTGATCTATCTATATAAAATAGCTGACCTATTTTCTTACATGTCGTTATAGAGAATATGGATGATAATGCCAAAATAGTAAAAATATTTGCTCCAGGCAAAATATTTTGACCAAGTTTCTTAGAAATCGGTCTTGATTTTACATTAAAATTATTTAATTTAAAATGTATTTAATCTAAATTTAAACCTTATTTAAATTTAAAAATTTAAAACTAATGGATGATGTAGCTAATTACTAAATATTTTAAATGCGATAAAAAAGAAATGGAAAACTATCCAATTGTGTAATAAACTTGTCCCTGACCAAAATTGCTCATCTTGAGTTGCATTAACACTCTCCGTGCATGTAGTGGTGTAATGGTTCATTAAATGGTAAGCTTAAGCTGAAATGATTATGTAATCACAGTGCATTTAAATGTGGCCTTTATGTGCATAATGGTAGCAAATAAGATTTCTTGAGTCTGGAAACTTGAAAGTTTACCCTAGGTTTCCAAAGCTTCAAAGCACTTCATGATTTTTTTGTGTGGCAACCAAAGCAGTCTTTTCTGTTGTTAAGATAACTTTACCAGTCATTTTATCCAACTTTACATCATTAAAAAACTGAATCTGTGGATTAATAAAATCATTTTAAGAGTGGTTTTGTCAGATTTTATATTGCTTTTGGTTCAATTAACTAACTACAAAGCTTCCATTGACTTCAAAGAGTGCACCATATTTACATATTAATTTCCTTAGGTCTGACATAGTGAGAAGGACTCGAAAGACTAAAGACACATATCTTAAACTGACTCATCAGTTCCCCAGTAATTGCCTGGAGTGCTGTAGTTGGAAATGCAAAGGAAACATGTAATCTTTAAGAAAAAAAAAATGAAAGACTATAAAGGCTGTAAAGTTAGATCCTTTGTATTTTAAAATGGTAGAATACATTCCTGACCAGAAGCTAACTCTTGGAAATTCCACAGCCAGTAAATAGCCATTTCTGCTTCAGAATCTTTCTCAATCCCAAAGTTTTCACTGAAGTTTCCTGAGTAACCGATCTTCACTTAGAATAACTGACAAACAGTTCTGACCTGAATGAACTGCATGACTTGGTATTTCTGAAATCTTAATAACTGATGCAAGTAGACACATGAGTGATGAGCTCTGACAATCTATAGCAATCATTACACAGTCTAGTTCGCTTACTACACATAATCGTGGTATAAAATAAATGAGAAGAAAAGAAATTTTTTTAAGATATAAAAACATTAGTGTTCTTTGTTGTCTCTCTGGGTAATTTTTTTGTCTTTTTTAAAATAGTGCCTAAAACATTTTATTATCTACATGACATTCAGTGGCTACTAATTGATGGTTCTTATGTTGAATTAATCCTATTAAAAGTGGGTTCCATACTCTTGGTTTTAATTTACACATTCCGTGGAGGACAAACATGTTTTGCTACAATCATCACTTGTCATTTTTTTTTTAGAATGACAACCAATGAAAGAAAGATATGGTATAAACCTTTTTGAAGTATTAGTGTTATTTGATTTTAAATAATGAATAAAAAGAATGAGAACGAGAACTATGATTGTCACAGGATTGTTACGTTATCCATCTTTAGCAAACTATCTCTAGTGGTGCTTTTAAAACAGAAGCAACTATTTAACTGCAATTAAATGCATGTGTGTGTGTATTCACACATGAAGTGCAAATAAGAATCAGAGATCTGAAATCCCTTATGAATTACATAATACATAATGGAGTGTGGGGCAGAACCCCATAGTCAAACATTAATATATATGCAGTAAAATGTATGAATATTCACACTAAAAAAGGCACAGTCTATAAATAACTTGTCATCAGTTCGGGTCAGATTTTTACAGCCAAAGGAGTTATCAAAAGAATTTCAGATTTTGACAGTTTTTTGGATTTTAGAATTGTAGAAAAGGGATCATGGCCATTTACCAAGCCTTAACAGATATTTCAGAATTTGTGACTTTTTTCTAATTGGTTTATCTTTGTTGTGCTTCAGGCTTGCACATAGTAGGAGCTTATTAAATTTTGAAATGAGCTGTTAAATCACATGCAAAAAATTTCATGACTTCTGCACATATAACCAGTTACACGTGTAAAATATTTACAACAGTGCTTGGCACATAGTAATCACTTGATAAACGTCATTTTTTATTTTTGTTTTATTTGTAGTATTCTTATAACGCTGAATTGCCAAGAAGGCAGCTTTAATCCCCATTTGTGCTAGAAACTAATTGTTGATAGTTGCTGTCTTACTAGTTCATTGTAAGTGGTCATGACTCTGAAATGGTCTGATTC